GCGGGACTGCGCAGGTCCCCGTTCTCCAGACCTGCGGGACTGCGCAGGTCCCCGTTCTCCAGACCTGCGGGACTCCGCAGCTCCCCCATTCTCCAGACCTGTGGGACTGCGCAGCTCCCCCGTTCTCTAGACTTGCGGGACTGCGCAGCTCCCCCGTTCTCTAGACCTGCGGGACTGCGCAGCTCCCCGTTCTCCAGACCCGCGGGACTGCGCAGGTCCCCGTTCTCCAGACCCGCGGGACTGCGCAGCTCCCCCGTTCTCCAGACCTGCGGGACTGCGCAGGTCCCCGTTCTCCAGACCTGCGGGACTGCGCAGGTCCCCGTTCTCCAGACCTGCGGGACTACGCAGCTCCCTCTGTCTGTGTGCTCAGTGCATGCCCAGCTCTCACCTCTCAGCTTACCTTCAACAGGACTTAGCAAGTGGACTCCTTGTCTCCCCATCGTAACTCAGATTAATTGGGATCCTTCATGTCACAGCTGGATGAGGTGCTTGGATCAATAGGCTTTACCAGCCAGACAAGCAGCATGAGCTGAACAGCCTTCCTTGTGCTCCAGTTTGCACACAGGGCCTCAACTTGTTAACACAGCTGTTAGATCTGTTGAGGGGAAAATCAGCACTCCGGGAGCCGTGAATCACAGCCTGTTAAAGGAGCTGTGAAAGAAGCAGGACCCCGGTTTGACGAGACCGCACTCTGGCTGGAAGGTGTGAAACAAGTGTTTCCGATCAGAGCTGTTGCAGACTGACACAAGCCTAACAGAGAAAAAAAAGAGGAAAGGAGAGGAAAGGGGATATAACGGGTTCATTCAGCGATCGCACAGGTAGTATTCAAAAGTGTTTAAGCACTTATTTCTATCAGGCGCTGTTGGGGATCCCCAGTTTGAGTCCAGGGGAGCCCCCCAGGAAGGCTTTTGGCAATACATCGTCCCCATCACAGATCAATCAGTCCAACCCTAAATAATAACTTCTGCACCCATCAATATACAGTCTTGAGTGGGATTGGGCAAGTCAGAGCCCATGCACTAGACCGGGGTACAGGGTGGGATAGACTGCACATTACAGCCCTGCTCTTGGATAGAATGGCAGGTCTGTGCAGCACCTGGGAACTCTGGCCAGTACTGTGAGAACGTGCAAACTCCCCAAAGACAGGTCACGTCCCGTTCCTGGAGCTCTGAGGCTGTAGCACTAACTACCACACTGCCCCGTCAGCAGTCACTGTCACTATGCTGCACAGTGCACGCTGAGTGGGTGAGGGGGGCGCTGCTGTAAGCCAGGGCTCGTCTTGTGAGGAGAAGCGGGTGTAGACACACAGCTGGCCCTCTGAGGACTGGAGGGGCCGTCTTTACACCAAGGGCAGCGGGTGTCTGGAACGTGCTGCTGAGTATTATTGCTGAAGCCAGTTACTTGGGATCTTTCAAGGAGCCGATGAAAGAGATCAATGAGATCAACCAAACAGGCACAGTGGATCGAACGCCCTGCTGTCATGTCTATCCTGATTTTGTGTTCTTTTCACCTTCTGCTCCTTCCCCCACCCTGTGTTTCCCCGTCCTGCCCTGAGCAGACGCAGAAGTCTGGGGGAGAAGGGGCTGGCTGTGCCACTGCTCTCAGATACAGCGTCCATCAGGGCGAATTCTCAGCTCATTCACTTAACATCAAACTGCTTTGCACATCATTCTGTCTAAAGTCATTGCTTCTCATCACCAGACACGATAATGATCAATTCAAGGTTTCTATTACACAAAATGAATCTCTAAAGCTGAATAATATAAAAAAGACAAGTAATAGGTTTATTCCATGCTGAAAAAAGAAGAAAGAAAACACAACGTTTTCAGCCGTGGAGCCTTCATCAGATGTTATCGGGTGTCTCACACCTGAAGAAGGCTCCACGGCCGAAACGTTGTGTTTTCTTTCTTCTCTTTTCAGCATGGAATAAACCCATACTTGTTCCTTTGCAGCCTATGCATGCTGACGCAGCTACCCACCTGAACTAATATAAAAAAAAACATCTAAACATATAGGGAAGCACATTGCACTGTGTCATAATCCTGCGTCACCAGCAGGTGGCATGAGAGTGCACCAGGCAGTTGCACCGATATCGGGACACACTGGCTGTGAGAACTGACACGATGAATAAGGGACATGCTGTATGATGAGAAAGCAAAACATCTATAGGGTATAATATAACATACAATCGATTGTCCAGATTGAGCAGGTTAATAGCCAGGGGAGTAAAAGATGACTTGGCTTTATTTCACATGAATGTAGGCAGTCGAAGTCGATGATGTGCAGATGGAGGGAGCTCAGATTCACTGTGCAAGGGGAGGTCACAACGGTCAGTGATTATACTGGTCTTCCCCACTCTTTGCTTGATGTAGATGTCTGCAGCTGTTGTTCACAAGTCATTCCGCATCTTGATTCAATGAAAGTTCTGAAGAATCAGTTCATCATTGTATTACACACATTGAAAAAGCAGAGTTTTCTCAGGAGGAACAATCACTGTTGGCTCTTCTTACATATGGCTCTTATGTTTTCCTCTGAGGTTAGTTTGTAATCAGCAACAGTGCCAACATATTGTAGCTGTTGACTAGTGTTTTGCAACTCGTGGTCCTTGGAGCTTTCTGTGTAAGAAAAGAATACCGGAGGTCTTGTATTTCTGGACTGACCTGGAAGATGAATTAATACAGACAGAGGTCTAAACCTGGAAGCAGCTGTGCCCAGCCACTCTCTCCAGGCTCTCTGGCACAGAATGCTGTAATTCTTACAGGTGGTGGAGTGCTGGCTCTGTGGCTCAGGATCTGTGCCAGTGGCTGGGAGGTTGCCGGTTCGTATCCTGCGGCCAGCAGAGGAATCCTACTCCGTTGGGCCCCTGAGCAAGGCCCTCAACCCCAACTGCTCCAGGGGTGCATGTACTCTGACCCCAAGCTTCTCTCCCTGTCTGTGTGTCTCATGGAGAGCAAGTTGGGGTATGCGAAAAGACAAATTCCTGATACAAGAAATTGTATATGGCCAATAAAGTGCTCTTATCTTATCTTACTGTGGCTATCAGTCTCCATCTGTCACCACGAGCTGTTGGTGCTCGTTTTGGTGTATGAAGGTTCCTGTTGAACATGGATGAGCACAGACTCAGCGTTAGTGCTTCTGCATT